CATTTCAACGTACGTCTCAGGAGTTAAATAAAAGATACTAAAAAACATAAACAAACAAAACCAACATCTCAGTCTCTTCCAGTTTGGTTGCCTTGAAGTTTAAACACTGTCAATTCAAATTTCGACTCCCCATCAGCGTGGGCTGACTAGACACTACAAGCAAATACTGTCTTAGGAAAGGCCGGTCAGGTTCTTATGGCAGAAGAGGAGGGTCCTCTGGACTGTTGCTCTTCTGGAACATGGTAAAACTGAGCTGACCACAAAGGTGCCGCTAGGTCAGTCTGGCCTTCTGAGGGTGCTAAGCTGGCACCTGCCCCCTAGAGCACATGACCCTTGGCTGAAAACTTCAGCCATAATGGCGTCTTAGTCCCAAACCTAGGCCTTCGAGACCTTTGAGACATTCAGATAATAGGGTGAATACAGATGACCGTGGGATCAAGGGCTGTTTCCCTGGAGCAGAGTGTCAAGGTTACTGCAGGTCTTGAAGAGAACTCCAGCCTTGGACTCAGAGCCCCATACCATTTGGATAACAGTGACAGCTTGGAGGCGGTGGCAGAGGGTGTGTAAGAGATGAATCCCAGGCAGAACTTCTGGCTGTACCCCAAGTCCAGCCATAGACATGGTGATTCAATTATCTGTTGGAGTGATCTACCCAGTATCTAACTTTTAAAACTATTTTCATTTTGAGATAACTGTAGATTCACATGCAATCGTAAGGAATAATGCAGAGAGCTTATGTACCCTTGCCCCAATTCACTCCTATAGTAACATCTTGCAAAGGAGCAGCACACTACCACAAGCAGGATGTTAGCATTGCTACAGTCAGGGTACAGGATATTCCTATCGGCACAAGGATGGCTCATGCTGGCCTTTTATAGCCACACCAGCTTCTCTTCTACCTCCATTCCCTGCTCAACCCCGCAACCAGTTCTCCATTTCTGTAATTTTGTCGTTTAAAATAGATCATACAAATGGAATCATACAGTACGTAAACTTTTGGAATTGACTCTTTTAACTCAGCGTAATTCTTTGGACATTCATCCAGGTCACTGCCTATATCAATAGTTTCTTCTTATTATCGCTGAGCAGTATTCCATGATATGGATGTATTGTGGTTTGTTTAACCATTCACCCATTCAAGGACAGTCAAGTTGTTTCCAGGTTTTGGCTATTGCAAATACAGTTATTATAAACATTCATGGCCAGGTTTTGGTGTGAGCGTAAGTTTTCACTTCTCTGGAACGAATGCTGAAGTGCGCAATATCTGGGTCATACGGTAGTTGCACATTTATTTTTTAAAGCGACTGCAAACTTTTCCAGCATGGCTGCAGTATTTGGGGTTACCAAATGTAGGAGTGATCCACTTTCTCTACGTCTTCACCAGCATTTGGTGGTGTCACTATTTTTTATTTTAGTCATTCTGATGCGTAGTGATATCTCATGGCTTTTATTTTCATTTTCCTAATGGCTAATGATGTTGAACATATTTTTCATGTGCTTATTTGCCATCTGTATGGCCTATTTGGTGAAATGTCTCTTCATGTCTTTTACCCATTTTCTAATTGGATTATTTGGTATTTTTACTGTTGAGTTTTCCAAGTTCTTTATATATTCTAGATACGAGTCCTTTGCTGGGTATGTGGTTTGCAAATATTTTCTCACAAGTCTGTATCATGTTCTTTTAATCTAACAGGGTCTTTCACAGAGCAGACTTTCAAATTTTGATGAAGTCTAATTTATCAGTTTTTCCTTTTATGAATCATACTTGGACATCAAGTCTAAGAGTTCTGTGTGTAGCCCTGGATTCCAAAGATATTCTCCTGTTTTTGTCTTTGTTTTTTCTGAAAGTATATAGGTTTCTGTCTTATTTGGTTATATTGTATTTTCATTTTGAGTTAATTATTGTGTAAGGTCAAGGTTCAATTTTTTTGTCTCTAAATGTCCAGCCGTTCTAGCACTATTTATTGTAAAAGTCATGGAGGTTCCTGCAGAGTTGGAATCTAAACTGTGTAGCACTTAGTGAAGTGATTACATCTAAGGACCTCCAGAAGCATGGAACATCTGGGTGTGCCCTGTGTCCGAACATGTGTGCACACAGTTCTTCTTTGTATATGAGGATGGTTAGGTAGGCGATGCCAACGTTAATACTCAGGACCCCGAGATACAGAAGGAAATCATGCATGTGATCAGAACTCAGGTTTACACAAACTGAGGGGTCCCCAGCCCCTATGACACACCCCACTCTCCAGGATCCATCTACCCTCATAAAAAGGCTCAGGAACAGCAGGTGAGGCTACCCCAAGAAATCAAGCATCCATTACCAAGGGGCAGGAAAGTGATAGAAGAGGCGGCCAACGTGGTGGATATTGACCCAGGAACCACTCCATATTTGGATGACCCAGATTGACTCCCCACCCCTGATTTTCCCAGTTGACTTAACCCTGTTTGTAAGTAAAACTACTTTATGTTCTTTAGTTGTGGGGCAGCAAGAAAAAATGGAAAAGAGAAGTGGCTTCTCAGGACAGCTTCACCAAAGTGCCAGTGAATCCAACCCAATTGTTTGGAGTGAGAAAAATAATTCGTCAAGTAGTTAAGCATCCTTTCCAAAGTCTTGCAGAAACCTTGCACTTTTCTGCTCTTGGCACTTAGCAACATTCCAGTTTCTTAACTCTGGAGTCTCAGTCTTCTCCTCTCCTTTATCCTCCTCCCCTTCTTCTTCCTTTTATTCCTTTTCCTTCTTCATCTTTCCTCCACTGACTCACTTTTGTACCACTGTAAAAAATCAATTGGGCAAGTGTGTGCATCTATCTCTAGGTTTTCTGGCCTACTAATACGGTGGATTATATTAATTCCCAAATATTGAATAAGACTTGCATCCCTGGACTAATCTCTACTTAGCTATGGTGTATAATTCTTTGTCTGTACTGTTGAATTCTATTTGCTAATATTTTGTTAGAGATTTTTGCATCATTATTCACAAGAAATATTGGTCTGCAGTTTTCTTACTTTGTACCATCTTTGTTTGGTATGAGGATAATATTAGCTTCATAAAATGAGCTGGAAGTGATCTCTCCTTTTCTTTTCCTCTAAGAGATTGTGTAGAATTGGTATTAACTCTTCCTTAAATGTTTTGCAGAATTTTTCCAGTAAAACCCTCTGGGCTAGGAGATCTCTTTTGGAGGAACTTTTAAAAATTACAAATTCAGTTTCCTTAATGGAAAAGGAAATTATCTGTTTCATATTTGGGGAGTCATTGTAGCTTGTGCTTTTGAAGAATTGGTCCATTTCATCTGTTTTGTCAAATTTATGTAAGTTTTTTTTATAGTATTCCCTTAATATCTTTTTGATGTTTGTAGTGATATCTTTTATTTCATTCCTGATATTGGTAATTTGTGTCTTCTCTTCTTTTTCTTTGTCAGTCTTGGTAGAAGTTTGTCAAGTTTATCCATCTTTTTGAAGAGCCAGGGTTTGTGTCATTGATTTTCTCTATTGTCTTTCCTGTTTTCATTTTCATTGATTTCTGTTCTCATCTTCATTGTTTCCTTTCTTCTGCTTGCTTTGGGTTTATTTGCTTCTCTTTTTCTACATTATTGTGGTGGGATCTTAGATTATTGATTTAGGACTTTGCCCCTTTTCTAATATATGCCTTTGGTGCTACAAATGTCCCTCTCAGCCCTACTTTTAACAGCATCCACAATTTTGCTATGCTGAATTTTAATTTTCATTCAGTTTGATGTATTAATTTCTCTTGAGATTTTCTCTTTGGCCCTTGAATTATTTATAACTATGATGTTTAGTTTGCAAATGCTGGGAGATTTTTTTCGATTATCTTTCAATTATCAAGTTCCAGTTTAATTCCACTGTGGTTAAAGAACATATACTGTATGATTTCAGTTCTTTTAAACTTGTTGAAGGTTTTTTTTTTTTTTCATGGCCCAGGATATGGTTTATGTTGACATGCATCCAGTGGACACTTGCAAAGCATGTGTATTCTATCGTTGTTGGATTCAGTGTTCGGTGAATACCAGTTAGATCTTATTATTTGATGGTATTGTTGAGTTCTTATATATCTTTGCTGATTTTCTGCCTGCCTGTTCTACCAGTTGTTAAGAAAAGGGTTTGAAGTCTCCAAATATAATTGTGGATAAGTCTAAATATCTTTTCGTTTATACCCAATTTTGCTTGGTACATAGACATTTTGGATTCCTATATAATGTCCCTTTCTGTCTCTGGTAGTTTTCTGTGTTCTGAAGTCTGCATTATCTGATGTTAATATACCATCCCTGCTTTCTTTTGATTAACGTTTCCATGATATATCTTTTCTGCTCACTTTACTTTCAACCCGCCTAGAGTTATGTTTGAAGTGAACTTATCTTATAGACAGCATATAATCAGGTCATTTAAAAAGATCCTCTCTTCCAATCTCTATTTAGATCATTTACATTTGATGTAATTATTGATATATTCAGACTTAAGTCTGCCATTTCATTTTTGTTTTCTATTTGTTCTCTTTATTTCTTGTTTTCTTTTTTCTGCCTTCCTGTTGGTTATTTTAGAATTCCATTTTGATTTACTTATAGTGTTTTTAAAGCTCGCTGTATAGCTTTTTAAGTGGTTGTTCTAGGTATTATGCTATATATACATAACTTATTACAGTCTATTGGTGTCATCATTTTGCCAGTTCAAGTAAAGTATAGAAACCTTACCTCCCTTTACATCCCTTTACTCTCCCCCTTTAAAAATATAATTTTCTGGCACTTTCCTGGTGGTCCAGTGGTTAAGACTCTGCGCTGCCAATGCAGGGGGTGTCAGTTCGATCCCTGGTTGGGAAACTAAGATCCCACATGCTGTGCAGTGCAGCCAAAAGATAAAAAAACAACAACAAGAACAAATATATATATATAGAACAAGTTGGGAAAAAATATTTGTAACATATATAATAAAAGTTAAATATATATATATATATATATATATATATAATTTTCTTATTTCCTCTACACATATTTAGAACCAGACAGTATTATAACTTTTGCTTCTCCAATCAAACATAATTCAGAAAACTCAAGAGTAGAAGGAAAACCTATTATATTTACCCATATTTTTGCTTACTGGCTCCTTCTTTCTTCCTGATGTTTAGAGAACTTCCTTTAGCCATTCTTTCAGGGTTGGTCTGCTGGTGACAAATTCTTTTAGTTTTCCTTCATCTGAGAGTGTCTTCATTTCACGAAGGATACTTCTGGATATAGGATTTTTTCTTTTGGCACTTAAAAATATTGTGATACATGATTTCTGATGAGAAATCCACTGTCGTTTGAATTGTTTTTCCCCTATAGGTACAGTGTTTCTCTTTTGCTGTTTTTCAAGATGTTTTTCTTCATCTTTTGTTTTTAGGAGTTTGACTATCATGTGCCTTAGGGTGGATTACTTTGGATTTATCCTGTTTGGGATTCGCTTAGATTTTTGAATCTATAGATTTATATCTTTTGACAAACTTGGGAAGTTTTCAGCCATTATTTTTGGGAGAACTTTCTTCAGTCCTCCCTCTCCTCTCCTGTCTTTCCAGAGACATTCTGATGACATGGATGTTAAACCTTTTATTATATAGAACAGGTCCCTGAGGCTCTGTTCATTTTTTATTTCAGCATATTTTCTTTCTGTTATTTAGATTGGTAATTTCTATTCTGTCTTCCAGTTTACTGATTCTTTCTTCTGCCCTCTCTACTCTTCAGCTCATCTACTGAGTCTTTTGCTTTGGTTATTGTATTTTTCTCTTCTAAAATTTCCATTTGTTTCTTCTTGTATCTTCTTTTTGTTTGCTGAGATCTTCTTTTTTTAATGTGTTTTTGTAATTGCTCATATAAGCATTTTTATCATGCTTTAAAATCTTTGTCGAATAATTCTAACATATCTCCCATGTAGCTGTTGCCATCTTTTGATTGTTTTCTTTCATTCAGTTTGAGACCTTCCTGGTTCTTGGTATGATGGTGTAGTGGCTTGAATAATGTTCCCCATAAATTCATGTTCACCTGGAACCTCAGAATGTAACCTTATTTGGAAATAGGGTCTTTGCAGATGTAATTGGTTAAGGTGAGGTCATAGTATATTAGGGTGAGCCCTAAATTCAGTGACTAGTGTCCTTATAAAAAGAGAACACACAGACACACACGTAAGGAAAATAGCCATGTGATGAGAGAGGCAGAGATTGAAGTGATGCAGCTACAAGGAATGGAAGGGGCCATCAGAAACTAGAAAAAGGCAAGGAAGGATTCTTCCCTAGAGACTTCAGAGGGAATATGTTCTTGCTGACATCCTGATTTCTGGCTTCTAGCTTCCAGAACTGTGAGTGAATAAATTTCTGTTGTTTAAGCTATCGAATTTGTGATACTTTGTTATGGCAGTCCTAGGGACCTAATACAGTTGGTATGACAAGTAATTTTTATTGAAACCTGGATATTTGGGATATATGTTTTGAGACTTTGGATCTTATTTCAACCTTCTGTTTTAGCTGGCTTCCTCTGACACTGCTCTTGCTGGGGACGGAGTGGTAGACACTGCTTCATTACTGCCAGGTGAGGGTAGAAGTTCAGGTCCTACTTGGCCTCTGTTGACAGTCAAGGGAGGATGCTCTTCATTACTCCTAGGCGTTCTCTGACACCACCCCAGTGGGGAGAGGGAAGAATGCCTTGTTACTTCAGGGTGAGAGTATTAGTCTGTGCTCCCTATCTGGTCTCAACCAATACCAGAGCTAGGGAGTAGGGGGGTCAGGAGGAGGAGCTACCACCCAGCAAGGATGAAATTCCAGCAAAGGGGTTAGGATGTTTTGTTACAGCTTGGTGATTGTGGAAGTCTAGGCCCCCAATTCAGCCTTTGCTGGTGAAGGTGGGGTCAGTATTTTTTCTGTAATGTTTGGTGCTGGTAAAGCTTTTATTGTCTAAAAGTTTTCTATCTTCCTAGACTGCCTTTCTCCTGTCCTTAGAGAAAGCAGACCTTTGTTGGGGCCCTTTTTGTCTGTGTTTGTGGATTGCCACCTTCTTCCACTCTGAGTCTGCAATATATGAGACAAAAGGAAAACCCAGGGAACTCACCACTGTATCATCTCCTCACTCTCAAGATCCCTAGCTGGTCTGCTTTCTTTGCTTCACCTTTCAGTCTTTTTACATTTGTTTTGTATATAATATCCAGCATTTTGTTAGTTATACGTAGCAGGAAGAATGGGGAAAATACGTCTACTCCATATCCCTAGAAGTAGAAATCGTCTGAGCTCCTAACTTTTTATTTCCTTGACCTCCTCAACTTTCTTCCCGTTGTCCTTCATTCTCATTCACTGGCAAAACCCAAACTTTGTAACAGCGTAATTCTCTGCCTTCTTCTATGTTTAGGCAGCTAAGTATGAAGAAGAAAAATTGCACAGTGGAGGGAATTGGTGCACCAAAATTCCATGGTATAAAATTTCCAATTGCCCCCATGCTGCCAGCCATGCCTACTGTGTTTATCGTCAGCCCTCTGTTTCTCTCTCTCATTCCTCACACAAGTCACTGAAGCCACCTCCTCCATCCCCTTTCCTAACATTTCACCACCTACCTCACTCACTCTCACCTGCTACCTCAAAAAGAAAATGGAAGCCATCAGGTAGGACTGACTCTGCACCTACAATCTTGCACACATCTGCATTCATTCTTACTTTCCTCCCATGATGGAGGATGAAGCCTCTCCTTCTAAAGCCAGTCTCTGCATCTGAGCTATGTAGCCCATCGTGGCCTGCACACTCAGTAGCCTTGCTCATCAATTATTGCCTCTCTTCTAGTATGTCCTCAACGTCATCCCTCCTAAAAAGCTTATATCATTAAAAAAATCCCCCTTGCTTCCTTCCCTTCTCATTACCTATCCACTTCTCTTCCTCATTTCAAAGCAAGGATTCTTAAATGTGCTTTCTATACTAGCTGTCTATACTTCCTGACATCTCATTCTCTCCTCAATCAACTGTGGTATCATATCTGCCCTCACAGTGTTGAAACAATTCTTGCCAAGGTCTCCAAAGGCATTTATCACAGAAGCCAGCGGACACCTTTCAACCTTACCTTGACATCTTTATAATATTTGCACAATTGAACATTATCTTCTTTTTTAAAAAAAAAAACCTCCCTTCTCTTGGCCTCTTCTGTTTTCCCTTAATCTCTCTGGCTACTCTCTTTGGTCTCTACCAAGTTTCCCCTTTCTCTGCCAGTGTTCCCTTTTTTAGGCTTCCCTCTTTACACAGTAAGTCTGAACACTCATCCAACCCTTGGCTCCTCACTCTCCTTATTCCCTACATCTAATACATCACCACATCCTTCATTCAACTTCCTTTGTGTATTACTCAGCTCGGGCTGCCATAACAAAATACCACAGACTGGCTAGCTTAAACACAGAAATTTATTTTCCCACAGTTCTGAAGGTTAGAAGTCCAAAATCAAAGCATGTTCAGTTTCTGGTGAGGACTCTCTTCCAGGCTTGTAGAGGACTGCCTTCTTAATTTGCCCTCACATGGTGAAGGGAGAATGCAAGCTTTCTGGTGTTTCTTCTTATAAGGGCACTAATCCCATCATGGGGGGGGGGGCACCTGCATGACCTCATCTAAACCTGGTTATCTCCCGAAGTCCCCATCTCCAAATACCGTCACATTGGGCTTTAGGGGAAGAGGGGTACACAAGTCAGTCCCTAGCACATTGCTCTGAAATTCTTTTGCCTTTTCCATCTCTACTGCCATTTTTTCTTACCTAGATTATTTCAATAGTTTCCCAGCTGGCCTCTCTGCCTACATTATCCCACTCAAAGCTGTTCCCCATTCTGTAGCTAGACTGTTATATCTGAGGCAGAAATCAGGCCTCATAAGTCCCCTGCAAAAAAATACTTCAGTCATTTTTGATAGACTTTCTATAAAGTATACACATCTTACTATAGCATGGAAATCCCTCCATGTTTGGGCTCCTGCTTATCTCTTTAACCCATCTCTCTTCCCACCCCTTTGTACTCAGTGATACCTCCATAGTACAATCCTCAGGGTTTGCCAAACACACCATGATTATTAACACTTCCTCATTCTCAGGACTCAACTCAGATGACACCTTCTCTAACAAGCCCTCCATGACCCTTAGTCTGGATGAGGTGCTTTTTCTAAGTAGCTCACTGTGATTCTTTCTTTCATAGCACTTAGCCCACTTCATTATAGTTGTGTTTTACTTGTCGGTCTCCCCCACTTGGCTATAAGCTCCTTGAGGGCAGTAGGTGGTCCTCACTCCTCACTCTATTCCAAGTATAGGTGCAATTCTGAGCACAAGTAGATATTTCATGTTTGCTTCTTAGGTGCAACTTCTGATTTACTGATGAAAAAACTAACAAGAGAACATAAGCTATCACTCCACCAAAGCCAAGCTATCAAGAGGCCCAGAAACCAAGGAATGTCACTATCAATGAGTCAGCTGTCAGAGTCTCCAGGCCTAGCACTGATACTATAGAAAAAGGTGACCTTAATCAAATTATTTCACTTCTTTGGGCCTTCATCTGTAAAATGAAAGGGTTGGACTAAATCACCTCCTAAGTGTCCTTCTAACGCTAATGTTTTATAATTCCATGTAAGGAGACCATAAGTGACTGGTTGGAATGTCTCAGAAATCACCAACCTGGGATAGTTCTTACTCTACCGTAAAGAAATCTGAGGATAGCCTGGGTTTATAAAGAACCCAGGCAATCAGGATTTCTCTTCACTGCCCATTCATTTCTTTGTTAATTCAACATTTATTGAACACCCAATCTGTACCAAGCATATAATGCTTTTCAGTTTAGAAATTTCGTAAGTGCTCATAAACAATAAGTAAAAAGGACAAAATTCTCTTTGAGGACAATTTGACATATAATTTTCCAGATTTCAGACAGAAACACGGTGACTTCATAGGGGAAAACGCTACAGAAGGTTCTATAAGAACTGCTCCATTCAATTGCATTTAGAAATGGTTATGTAACTGTTACATTGAACAAGTGTGACTCATAGGATGTAATCAATCATAAAGCAACACTTCAGATTTATTCCACAGAGTTAGCACTTTCTCTGCTCTTGGGTGAAATTTAGATCAAATTTTTATTCTTCTAGTCACTTCCAGGAAATATATCCTTTGGTCAGTAATTAACGTGTCTGGATTCATGTCACAGTAAAAACATCGACAGGTTTCTCCCATCCCCATCTCAGCCTCCTACAAAGAGCCACAACTGGGTTAGGAGAGCAACCCATGTGCCCTTTCTTTTCTGATCCCTGCCCCCTGCAGTTTTCAGAAGGTGACTGCACACTTCTCTGTGGTTAGATTACTGGGAGGAAGATAAGGAGAGGGGAGCAAGAAAGTTCTTACTTGCCTGGTGGTTGTGTGACGAGCTAGTATCAGAGTTCTTTGGCCTTGACAGATATACCAAGTTGCCTCTCTTGTTGGTTTATATGAGTTTTCCGGAGATGCTCCAGGGTAGGGCTTCTCTCACCTGGATTTCCCTGCAGATGAATGGATACATCTTAACATGGCCAATCACTTACTCTTTCCTGGGACCCCAGGTATCTGGTACCAGCTCCATATTTTTGTTCATCTGGTTACCCATCCAAATGACCCTCTTAGAAAGGATGCAAGGGCTTCCCTGGTGGTGCAGTGGTTGAGAGTCTGCCTACCGATGCAGGCGACACAGGTTCGTGCCCCGGTCCGGGAAGATCCCACATGCCGCGGAGCGGCTAGGCCCGTGAGCCATGGCCGCTGAGCCTGCGCATCCAGAGCCTGTGCTCCTCAACGGGAGAGGCCACAACAGTGAGAGGGCCGCGTACCGCCAAAAAAAAAAAGAAAGGATGCAAGATAACCCCATGTCTGCTTTCTCTTGTGAGTGGCCCACATCTGATTCAATGGAACCACTCACATTTTATTTGCCCCCAGAGATTTAGAAAGATTGGTTGGGGGGAGGACACCCAGCCCACAGACGACTCTATACAAAACAACCCTCACAGACTTCCCTGGTGGCGCAGTGGTTGAGAGTCCGCCTGCCGATGCAGGGGACACGGGTTCGTGCCTGTCCGGGAAGATCCCACATGCCGCGGAGCGGCTAGGCCCGTGAGCCATGGCCGTTGAGCCTGCGCGTCCGGAGCCTGTGCTCCGCAACGGGAGAGGCCACAACAGTGAGAGGCCCGCGTACCGCAAAACAAACAAACAAACAAAAAAACCCTCACCTCGAATCTCTAGTTTTCATTTTTAATGTATTTTGTATTTATTATATGTAAGGGGTTGAAAAGCCATGTAATCAGATTTTGACAACCTGTGTTGCAAATTTTGCAACATGGAGGTCTTATACCTCACTTTAAAATGTGAAATCAATGTCTTAGTGGTTTACCTGAAACTTTCAGTCTTTTACAGTTCTACCTGCCTTGTGATGCCAGAATGACCAGTTTCTAATCCCATCTTTGGTCTAGACTTGCCATATCACGTGACAAGTAGCCTTTTCCTCCCCTAGTTTCATCATCTAAGGGAAAGTTAATATCAAGTCTTTATGTAATTTAAAGTACTTACTTGCATAATCTGGAGATTCCTAGGGCTGCCACAACAAAATACCATACACTGGGTGGTTTAAACAAGTGAAATTTAGTCCTAGCGGCTAGAAGTCCAAAATCAAAGTGTCAGCAAGGCTACATCCCCCCAAAGGCTCTGAGATTAGAATCTGTACTGAGCCTGTCTCCTAGCTTCTTATGGTTACTGTCAGTCTTTGGCTTACAGCTGCATCACTCCAATTTCTCCCTCTGTCTTCATTTGATGATCTTCCTGTACATCCGTGTCTCTGCAGAACCTTCTTATAAGAACACCAGTCATTGGATTTAGGGCCCACCCTAATCCAGTATGACATCATCTTAATTTGACTACATCTGCAAAGACCCTATTTCCAAATAAGGTTATATTCGCAGGTTCTGAGTGATCATGGATCTGCGGGGTGGGGGTAACACTATACAATCCAGTACAGGTACTGTAATATTTTCTATAGAAAGGTTTAATATCAGTGCAAATATGATGTTGCATGGTTTTTCCCCCCCCCCAAATAATGTTTTTAAAACTAGGGAGATTGCATCAATTTTGGAAAGGCCTATGGAAATGGGTACCTCTGGGTTGCACTGGAGTTCACTGCATAGCGGTAGTCATAATCATAGAGGAATATGACAAAGGAGGCAAACAAACAGCTTAATAAGCATGGGTACGTATCGTATGAGAGAATCAAAGCAAGCTAATAATAGCTACCCTAGAGATGAGCTAGCAGATGCTTCTTCCACAGCTGAATCCTCAGAGGGATGATGTAGTATTTGTTGATTTTGCCATGTGACTTGTAAAAACAAAAGAGATACAAAGAAGACAAATGACATTGTAATTTTGAGTGGTTTGACCGTAACTGCACATACTAAAGTTATCATAGCACTAGTAGTGATGTGTTGTTGTATATACTCATCACTTTTTAAGCCTCTGCAACATGTTAGACAGTTTTCCTGAGAGTATTTCCCCCCCGTACCAGGTTTCCCCTTTTCCAAAAGTTTGAATGGTTTGTTGGAACCCTGTTCAAATAATGACATAACATCAGGCATAAAACTGAAAGCAACTAAAGGAGAGTTTTCATGTTATCCATCAAAATTGGGTTTTTTTGTTTTTTGGGGGTTTTTTTGCCATACGTGGGCCTCTCACTGTTGTGGCCTCTCCCGTTGTGGAGCACAGGATCCGGACGTGCAGGCTTAGTGGCCATGGCTTACGGGCCCAGCCGCTCCGTGGCATGTGGGATCCTCCCAGACCGGGGCACGAACCCGTGTCCCCTGCATTGGCAGGCAAACTCTCAATCACTGCGCCACCAGGGAAGCCCAAAATTGGTTGTTTTATACTAACTTCAAATACAGTTTCTTCATGATTTATCAATAAAGTCTATCCTGAGAAAATCTGGACCTTCAGAAAAGTGCAATGAATAGGTCTATTTCCTATCCATATCCTCTTGCTAATCTTGAGGAACTTCTTCCTGGACCTTTGATTTTGCTTGGCCAAGACTGCTTTTTGGAAAATCATATATTTATCCATCTCTGCTCATTCAATGAGATTGTCATGCAACTTTGGAAACTTGGAGTGACTTCATTAAATAGTATGTATTTCTTATTCAAAATGATTTGAGACATTTTAAATTACTACTTCTCCTTCTACTTTACATGGAACTTCTTTTCTGACTGTGGCAAATGCTGCCACGTGCCTACCTTTGTATGTACAGAGTCAGTGGGTACTTATCCATTCTTTTGCTGCAGACGATTGATGCCAAATTTAAATCTTCCTTTGGGTAATTGTTTTCTTTGTGTCTTACTGTGTTATCGCCTCTTTACTGCAATTTGTATTTTCTTTTGTAAGACATTTGATTCTTGTGAAAGTGTTACGTATGTAATAACGGAAACAACACCCACACCATTACTTAGCTCCTGTGGGCGCTGCCACACTTCTTTCTGTTTTCTTTCTTCTTTTTCGTCGTCTTCTTTTTTCTTTTTTTAATCACCATAAGAATAGTTCTTAGGAATAGAAATGATGCAACAGTCTTAAAGATATAGTCAGTGGTCTATTAATTAGTGGAGAGTAATTTTTATATAAAAATTGGCCTCTGTAACTGACGGCCAACCTGATTGTTGTGAACTTCATACCGTTTTGTGCTGGCTTAAAACACGGTAGCGGATGTGATACGGTTTGTATAATGTTCTACAATAAATTGAGCATGGCAGGACGTGTAACACCATCAGTCCAAGTGAAATGGTTATATGGGAACCAGGGAAATTATTGAGCTTCCATGTGGATTGGCCTGTTTTGATAAAGTAAGTCAGGCCACAGAGATTTTTCTCCACCTTGGAAAAAGGACCCAAAAGTACCAGTTATGCAAAACCACTGGGCCCGTTTGTAGTCAGTAGTCGTCCAGGACCTTTAGGATATCTTTTACCTGAAGGGCTCCAAGGGCAACGCTTGGAATCTCAAGGTCTACACACAAGCCGTGCCATGAAGTCCCAGTGTTACAGAAGTTAAGAGAGAGAAGGGGCTGAGGCCTGCTTCCCTCATTCTCTGCTGGCCTCCTTCTCTTTTGTAGGAGACATTGGTGTGCAAGGCAGGTTGGGACCACATCAGCTCAGGCCATGGGAAGGGGGAAGAAGCCAAGATCCAGTGTGACAGAGGGGACAGAGCGTTTGTCTTCAGAAGCTGGCCCATCCCCAGGAGGCAGCAAGGCAGACCAGTGTGCAGCGGTCACAGGGCATGACGAACACAGATTGGGCCAGACTGTTAGGATATCTGAGTGCATCCTCTCTGCCAGCAGTTTTGGAATACGTCCTGGTGACAATAGTCAAAATCAGGCACAGTTGCAGGTGATTGGTCCAGTCACAGCAGGTCCCCAGCAGAAGCTGAGAAGGGAGTAGAAAAGTACATCCTGCTTCCCAGAGGAATGGGCAGAGCAAGAATTTGGCAAAGCACGAGGACCCGAGCTGAGGAAGCTGGGGTCCAGGGCTAGGATCCAATCCCTGCTGAGAACTGACATGCGTAGCAGAGAAACTGAGGCCAACTGGAGTTCCAAGGCTTTGGCCAAAGTGGTAAGAGAACTCTGAGACTCAGCATCTACAGGAGGAACCAGATTTCCGGGTCTCTAGGCAACCAAACCAGTTTTGTCTATTAATAGGTCTAAGGCTGATGACACCAATCAGGACTGGCTCAGACTGGTTGGGGGCGACTAAGAGCTTCTGGAACTTTAATGTGCATAAGAATTACCTGGGGATCTTGTTAAAATGAAGATTCTGATTGGGTGAATCTGAGTGGGGCCACTATTCTGAATTTCTAATAAGATCCCAAGTGATACTGCTGGTTTTATAGAAAAGCAAAACTCAGAGAATCCACACTTGCTGTCATGCGCTCCCCCCCCCCCCCGCCCCCACTGCTCTCCACCCATTTCACCTGCCCAATCAGCTGTCCCTCCTCCCCAGCCCTCTTCCTAGTCATATCTCGCCATCTTCTTTTCCTTTTCTTTTCCCCTGTCTTCCCAACCCCTTTGTCCTGCTGCACTGCTCTGTCAAGACCATCAATAGAAAAAGAGTTTCTGTTTAGATACTAGAAGGGGCAAGATAGCAAAAGCCAGAAACATTTTCCCCATTGTCAGCACACAACTAAATGCTTTTATGTTTGAGAGAAATAATTACTCCAGATTAATCTCTTTTTCAGTCTCATAAAGAGCAAAAAGAATATGTGGCCTTTCCCTCCTCATATAATCCAACAGTTAAGAAATTTCTTCTGAATGCTCGCTTTGACAACATATATACTAAAGTTGGAACAGTGCAGAGAAGATGATCACAGCCCCTGTGCAAAAATGACACACAAATTTCTGAAGCTTTCCATATTTTAAAAAAGACATTAAAATAGACATAAATTAATGGAGAAATATACTGTGTTTATGAAAGAGAGGAACCAATATAGTAAAATC